AACTCGTTTTATATAAAATCCCACCTTACATAATCCACCTCCTTCACTCATATCTCAACAATAGATCCTTTTGCATCACAATAAAGAATGTCCATTCCTCAATCCATTTCCTATCTGCAGGTCTCCCTCAAGGCTCCTCTATTTCTCCTACACTATTCAGCCTATACATCTCAGACCTCCCTTCTATTCCTTCACTAGAATACTCCTTATATGCAGATGATACAGCTATCTAAACCTATTCTTTCAGAATCGACACTATAACTAACAGATTACAATCCCAATTCATAAAACTCAGCAAATATTTTAAAAAATTGAAAATAAAAATAAATAAAATAAAAAACTGAAGCAATTATTTTTACAAAAGAAGACCACGCATAAACCATAATATACACATAAAAAAAGTACAGATACCTTGATTTAACTCCGTGAAATATTTAGGCCTATAACTTGATAGGTCCCTAAATTTCACTCAACATATTAATAACAAGTACAATAAAGCAAAAAACATAATTAGCAAAATGTCACTATATTTTAATAGATATTCACAATTGAATACAAAAAATAAACTGATTTTATATAAAACAATAACCCGCCCTTTAATCACTTATTCTGCCCCAGTATGGAATTACACATGCGAGACTAATTACAAAAAACTCGAAATGATTCAAAATATGTGTATGAGAATCATAAACAATTATCCACATTGTACCAAAATATCTATTATGCTATCAGAGTTACAGCTTCCCACTATAAAACAATATGTTTATTTTAAAACTCAGAGATTTTTTGAGCTTACACCAACGTCTGAAAACCCTATGATTCGAACAATAGGAAACTATGACAAGGCATCTTTGAAACGGTATACACACAGACGGACTAAACTTCTAAATCAATCTATTTATTCATAAAAATTAAACGGATTCTTCTCTATTAACAAACAAGTAACAATAAACTCTATCACCCCAATTAATAAATTATATTTATAGGATGTGTGTGTAAATGTATATATATATATGTGTGTGTGTGGTGTGTGAGTATGTATATGTGTATATATATATAAAAAACCTAAACCTAAACCTAATATATAAACCTATTTTTTCCCTTCATTTCTTTATTGTTCCTTTTTATCCTACTCACCACACCCGCAAGTCCGACACTTGGTTAGATTTCTTCATTATAGACTCCGAACTAAATCTCCTCTCCTCTTCTGAACTTCCAGTATCCTTCTTATCGTCTCACGACATGATCCTAATAACATATAAAATCCAAATATTCACCCGAGAACCTTCGCTTTCCGTCAGATAGACACTCTGACCCTTGAGAAAATACTACCTGACCTTGAAACCTTAGACTTGAACGAAATATATTCCTGCTCCTCTATCGACTCCATGGTTGAGATCCTGACTTCCAATCTCCACAATATCCTTAACACCCATGCTCCCATAAAAACCTCAACCTTTCGCCGCCGGCCTGCACCTTGGATGTTTCAAGAAATTAAGTATCTGCAGAAGAGGCGTGATGCTGCCCGTAGACGCTTTAGGCGTACCAGGCTTACAGATGACTATCAAGCGTTTAGGGTGCTCCGAACTTGACACAAACAAGAATTCGGCGAATTAAAGCTTCCTACTTCCATGAAGCTCTTTCATCTGCCCCAGATCCCAAATCTAAATGGCTAATCCTTCGCAAACTTTCCCCCTGTGAACCTTCCAGATCCCTTTCCTCACTGGTTTCTTCCGTTTCACCTGACGATTTAAATTCACATTTTATTTCTGCCTCCTCTACCTCTTCTCTTCCCTCCTCTTCCAGCTTTGCTCCTGAGTCATCATTTAATGATGATGACTTTTATTTCTCCGACATTTCCCCGACTGACTTACTAACCGCAGTAATGAAATCCCACACCAATTCCATAGGACCAGATGACATTCCTGTCAAATTGATAAAATTATGTCTCCCCGAAATCCTCCCAGTTCTCCTTTTCTGTTTCCGTCCCGGCTACTGCACACAATCCGCCTTAATCAAAATTACCAATGATGTTCAGACTGCAATAGATAATAAACAATTAACTGTCCTTATACTTCTTGACTTCTCTAAAGCCTTAGATTCCATTAACCATCCCATCCTTTTCAACAAACTAAAATCACTTAACTAAACTCCTCTTTTTTTTAGTTCCTATATTAATGACCTCCATGACTCAATTATCCATTGTTCCCACCACATTTATGCAGACGATTCTTAAATATACCTATTCTTTTCTCTCCCTGAGCTATTGGTAGCATTTACTAAGATCCAAGCAGACCTAGATCGAATCTGTGTCTGGGCAAACTTAAACGGATTAAGGTTTAATGCTCAAAAACTCAGGCCATTGTCATTGGTTACACGCCCCTCCTTAGATCCTATACCGACTTTCCCATACTAAACCTTGGTGACCAGCCAATCTCCTTGTACTCCTCTGTCAAAAAATTAGGACTATTTATTGATCAAACCCTCTCCTGGAATCACCGTATTTCTCACATCTCCCGACGGACAATTTCTACCCTCAAACTATTCCATCGCTTCCGCCATCTCCTACCTCAACATACACGTGGACTCCTCGTTTCCTCTCTCATCTTCCCCACTTTGACTACAGCTGTGTGGTGTATGATGGACTCTCTGTGGAGCTCCGTGACAAACTGAAAAGATTAATTAACAGTTGCGTGAGAGTTGTAATTGGTGCCCCGAGATACTACCATGTCTCTCACCACTACACTGAGTTAGAGTGGCTCTTCCCCTCCATTCGAAGACAATATTTCCTAATTACATTCCTCTATCATATCATCAACAATCGTCGTCCTTTCTACCCCTACAACCTTCTCCAATTCAAGTCCTCAGTCCACTCCCTCTCCACAAGATCTCGACCTTCCGACCTTTACATTCTTTCTCACAGATCTGTCTCGTTCCAAAACTCCTTTATTACTCGCTTAATTTTTGGAATTCCCTTCCTATCAAAATTCGACATTCTTCATCCCTATCTACATTCAAAACAGTCAGATACCAGCTAACCTTTTGTGTAAAATCACATATTATTTATAATAATATATTCACATATAGCTAATAACTTAAATACTTATTATAGATTCGACTTTCTTTCTTTTTCAACAGAAACACTTTTTATTATTTTTTTTTTATTTAATTGAAATCTACAGCTGTATTACATTAAAAATACAACAAGTAAATGTGACAGAAGAATTTACATTTATTTTTTCTGTATTTTTTATTTTTTCTAAAAGGGTTTATTTATATTTTACCATTGTACATAGTTTTAAGCATCTTGGTATGGTTTCAAGAGTTTTGTATATAGATTTTTTATTTTTATTTTGTATATAGTATGTATATGTACGTGCTTAAGATTTGTCTTCGGTACATCGAGACGGTCTCATGTGTCCCACCTTTACGAAGAGTTAAAGTGGTTCTTCCCTTCTTTCCGCAATATTTCCTTGGACCTTTCCTATTCCAAACGATCAACACCAGACACCCTTCCTACATCTACAGTCTCCTACAGTTTAAACCCGTCCCTTATACAGTTTCCGACCTTTATATCCCTTCCCATAGAACTAAGACGTTTGAATATTCCTTATTGCAAGATCCACTGCCTTCTGGAATTCCTTGCTTTCTGAAATCTGCCATGCCTCTTACTTGTCCTCATTTAAATATCATCTTTACCAATTCCTTCTCACATCCCAAAATGACGTTATGCAATGAAATAAATATTGCGAAACAGATTTTGACTGAGGTAAATGGTTGTAAAAATTGATAGAGTTTTAATTTTAAAAATCAACCCATGTTTATTTTATTTTGTTCTCTTTTCATTTAAATAATGTTTTTTTTTTTTTTTTTCTTTTCAAAATGGTGTTTTTTTTACTTGTTTTAATTTAATTTTACTGAAGATACTATATATTCTTTAATATATATATAGTTAACTGAGTTATCAAAATTAGTCATGAGTAATAACTCACACAGGCTCTGATTTGAAATATAAATAAAATAATACTGGATCTATTTTTCAGCTGGTAGAACTGAAGGCCTCCTTGCCCTAACCCAACTATTCCTTATTCTGTAGAGCACTAGCGGATCTAGGATTTAATTTTTTGTGGGGGTGGGACGGCTTTCTGCCCGAGAGCTATTTTTTTTCATATATATATATATATATATATATATATATAACAATAATTACACGAACAATAATACTTCAAGAGATAAATTTTTTTCATATAACATAGTTATGTTTTACCATTTTAGGAGGCGGGGGCTTCAGCCGAAAGTCTTTCCCGTAGATCCGTCTGTAATGTAGAATGAGTTTAAACGAACTTCGAAATTTTACTAGGCTTTTAGCTCATCAACCTATATGTATATCCCAAGGGATATTATATTACATTTCTCATATTTTGAGAGTTGTTTTTGCTCTCCTAGATCGGCAATCGGCCCTACTGTGTGACGTCCTAAAATCTATGTATTTTCAAAAACCGCGACTCAAACAACATAATAATAGATTCTTAGATATAAATTTAAAAATTTTGATCTTATTTTTACAAGAATAGATTGGTTATCTGTAGAATGACTCGGGATGTCAACTTTAAGTGTGTTTGCTCTGTGCAAATAAACAGAATGATCGATTTATACGATTAATAATAAAGTGTTACTGACAGTTGATAAAATTAAAAATAGTAACGAAAACCTGGTTAAAAAGCAGTGAATAATGAAGGTCCACAAAATTCTTGTAGTTATACTTTTTATTTATTTGTTTTTTTAGTAAGATGTATGACAAGAGATTGAATTTGGATAAAAAAGGGAAGAAAAAGAATGTTTCTCGCAAAACTACAAAACTATTAATTTACATTAGTGTTTATTTGTCTTAAGTATGATTTCTTGGAACAGTAAAAAAAAAAAATTATAATTACAAATTGTTTCAGGTATATATATTGTGGGTAACACTGTTATGTTGAATGGAATGGTTCAATCGTAATCGTCAGTTGACTTATGCATTTAGAGTTTATTTGTTAAGTAAGCCTGATGGCTTCTTTTTTAAATGATTTCCCTTGATGTTTAGATGTGATGGCTTCTTTTGCAAGCTAGTGTAAGCAGAAGTGAATACGTTATTTTTCCATGTTACTAATTACGTATTAGTTTTATACTTAAGTATTATATATAATAATTGTTGAACCATATCTGAGTTAGTTTATTTTATGAATAGTTGTTTTTATTAAATACAAACATTATAATTTTAGTTGAACCCATATTAAACTAGATTTATTTTGTAAACAGATTTAGAAGAGAATTCCTAAAACATGAATGCACAAAGCTTTACATTAGCCGAAAGGTTGATTCCTTCTACTTATGTTCAGCAAGCTGTATCAGCCAAAAAGTGGCGTGAAAACTTAATTAAAACATTTATAGAACAGGTACTATATCTATTTCATTAAAAATTGTAGTTTTTTTTTTCTTTTCTTCAAGTTATTATTTAATTACTATGAGTCTAAATCAAGCAAACATGATATAGCTTACTCTTTAATTTGCATTTGTTACACTGGTCTATTTAAGCTGCCCAGAATATAGGTTAGGGTTATTTTGTCAAAGTGATACTTTAAAGTGTTATGTCGTAAGTGTTTAGTGCTAATTTCTGTTTTAATATAGTATCAAATGAATTGTTTTGTTTATTTTTCAATAAAATATTTGTTTAAGTTTGTACCCACTCATTTATAGTTCCCAATTCACTTTTAGTTCACAAATGGTATGATTTTGTGTCCAAAATATTATTTAAAATTATTTGATCATTATCAAACTATGTTATATTGTGTATTTTACTGTATAATTAATTCCTTAATACTTTTAAGTTATTCTTTATGATGCTTAAGTGTGACCTCACTCACTTCAAAATTTACTTGATTGTTTTAATATTTTTCTTACAATTGTTATTCTCCATGCAAAATGCATGTTTTTTCTTATTTGTTACACATATTTAATGAGTGATGATTTTAAAATCTATTAATTACAATAAAACTTGAGTTTTTACAATAAATTTTCATGTCTACAGGATTATCAAAATAGCTGAATATCACATTTTAATGTTACATATCTATGATTTGTTGTCTGATCCCTTGAGACCATACATGGCTTACAATGGGTTCATATAAACAATACGTACTTCCTAAATCCACAATTTTGTATTGAATAAATACAACATTTACTTTTTCAAATTTAAATAAAATAATTGAATATTTTGTTTTATTACTCAATTATCAAAAGGGAAAGATGAATAAAAGAAAAAAATAATAAGGCTTAATTTTTGTTCTGAAAAATGTGGAAATGAATGTTAGTTATGAAAGAAAAGAGTGCTGAGGAATTTTTATCTTTACTGCCAGTAAATCATTACACAATTATCAACAATTTTATAGATATTAGCATGCTCAGTATCAGAGATGCCAGTTTGAGTGTATTGCTGAGGATAAAATGGATTTTTTATCTATAAATCTAACAATAAATACATTTAAGAAAACTAATATTGACTCGACATATTGATATTTATCTTGAATAGTATATATTTCCATTCCCTACTGTATATTAGATTATCCTACAACTGCACATTCAGTAGATGTGATGATTGAGTATACTTAGGTTACTTCAACTTTGTGGTAGATCTATTGACAGTTTTTAAATCTTTAAGTTAGAGAAAATCGTAAAGGATGTTACATTTGCTTTACATAATAATACGAGTATTTAAGGACTTTTATCTTCACTTAAATGTTAAGCAACATCCAGCTCCAGCATTGTTTCTATCATGTGGCTCAATGTGAAACCGTGTAATTAACAAATTCCAACCTTACATTATGTCAAAAAAAAGAACATTAATTTTAATTCTTATCATATTGAGATGCCTCTTTTTTAATCAGTAAGTACTAGCAAGTAATCTAATATTTGGTAGAAAAAATTAACAATTCATTGTTTCTTTAAAATTGAGGTTTAAATAAAATAATCTAAATTCTACCTTTTTTTTTACTATCGTGGAATCAAATTGAGATCAATGAATTGTAATTAGTTTTGTTTCACATTAAAGCGACTACCGTTTTATCATTTTTTCCTGTGCAAAAATTATAATATCTTACATTGATAGAACCATTGGAAGGTTCTGAAAAATATACTTCAAATATGTATTTGGTATTTTGAGTAACTACATTGAAACTATTCTCAATTAATCTGTCCTTTGTGGTAAATCCTTAGTCATCATTTGTTATAACATTTTTACTTCAACGGCACTTACAAATTTAAAGGCACTTTTATTGTATATATTTTTTACTTTTACCTAACCATGGAAATGAAAATTAATCATATTTTTCACTATCCAGTTGAAAGATGTATGCAAAAATGAATTTATAATATGCTTAAAATAACATTGTTTTTTTTTTTTTAATGTTCATAACTTTTTTATTGATTTATTTTTAGAGCTATAATCTCAGAAAAAAAGTGTCTGCAGTTTCACAATTCCTTGGCATAGATATTTTATAGTAGTTCTTAGAAAGTTATAAGTACTTTTTTTTGTAGAAAACAGGCATAGTACTGCTACTTTGAATACAGTAAGTGTTGTACTGGTATTTTATGGAAAATATAAATGAGATATTTAAACCTGTCAGGAATGTTTTACTTAATGAATTGATTTAACCTAATCTCACGTATTTTTTTTCAAACTAATTTTTCAACTTTTTTCTGAGACTAACATTAATTAATTATTTCATGTGACAAAATTTTAATTATATATGTTTAATTTTACATTATATATCTTATCTATTGAAATTTAATTAATTTTTTGGACTAATAGATTATTTCATTAACTTTGTTTTATCTTTTGCTTTATAATACTTATAGCTTATAGTATACCATTTGTATTTACTACTCATATAGCTGTCTTGTTTATTTTTTTTTTTTTGAAGCAGACTGAAAGTGATGCACGTATATTAACTGATGTCAATTTTATGTTATATCCAACAAATCCTAAGCTATAGTTTATTTGTAGGCCTTAAATATTTCCATAGAGAGTATATTTATCTAGACCTACAATTTTCAATTCTTACCTTCGCTGTCTCATTTTTATAAAACAATCTGTTACTGTATATTTTGGTTTCTTATGGTGGATGGGCTACAAAATTAATTAAATTCTTACTATTTAAAGATATCTTTGATTAGAAAAAGTACAATGAATCTGAATTTATCAACGATTTCTATTGTTTATTTCATTCATACAATTGAACAATTTTAAATGTTTATTATTTATTAAACAGAGATAGTGGACCAACTTAGTGTGTAAAGCATTGATATCTTAAACATTTATCTTATATCGAACTGTTAGGTTTCATGCCGGCTGTGAAAAAAATAAAGCTTATTTAATATTCTGTGTGGTATAGATCAATCCTGAGGCTGAAGGCTCCCTGAGGCACACCAAGCCTCTATAAAGTTGGTGCGTGATCCTTGAATACGTGGAGAGAAAAACCTGGTGTTTGAATGTGATCCTACCCTAGATAACCTCTTTATATAATTGTTGATCAAAAACAGTATTTCAGTGCCAGGTATTGAGTCCAAGACCCTTAATGGGTTGCGCTTGTACGAAAAACTAAAGACCATTTTTTAAAAATATGTTCTTTTGATGTTGTTTCTTAAAACTGCATGTAATCCTTTTATTCTTAAAGCATGAATTAATAAGGAGTTTGTGCATTAGTGAATTGATTCTAATTTGTTATATATACTAATGATGTACACATATAATGTAAAAGGTTAGGTTTATTGATTGATATTCTGAAAAGAATAAAGCATTAAAAGTTTTATGTTGATGTTATAAAACAATTGATTTTTTTCTTCAATAAATCTTTGTTAATAGTTTTTCTTTGAAGTATAGACCAAAAAGTGGATAGCAATTTATTATTGGAATACTCATAAAAGGTTTTCATTCAGCTATTGTATTGGGAATGAATAGATATAATTTACAAAAGAGCATCCTGAAATTTAATGTCTTACCATAATGTCACTATGGGTAATTCATGTTGGACATTAATATAGCATAGTCCTATCACTGAGGTAAAATATCTTAGTCCCAGCTTGCAATTTTTATTTTAATATTTTGGTTTTATTTATTGAATTTTTGTAATCGACCAAGAAAACAGAATAAAGCCTAATCCCTTTAAATTTGAACCTTATATTTCAAGGGATGTAGGGTCCGAAATATGACTACCTTTAATAACTCTTTGTTATGTAAGCAAACATAATTGTTTTATTTTACTGGTTCTTGCTATTAATCTATTTAATATGATTTCATGTATATAAACTCAACTCCATTTGTATGGGTCCACCCAAAAACAAATAAAATTTATTTATTTATTATATCTTTACTATTCTTAAAAGGTTACTGCTGTGTGGGTAGCATGATAGTATATCAGGGAGAGGGCTAATCAAATTGCATCTTGCTGGTTCTTACTATTCCAATGCTTTTATTCCGAAGACAAACAAGAATATGTTCAATATATGTTATGTTGTGCTAAAATTGGCTATAATTAAAATTTATTATAAGTTTTTAGTCAATTAACATACTCACATGATTGCAACTTTAACCATATAGTTATAGAAAGGGCCAAAAAGAAAAAAAAACATAAATATTTATCTTATAAATGATTGGATACATTTATTCTGGTCATGCAAACGAAAATTTCAGTGTTCTGTGGTACAAATAATAAAAGAGAAGTTTTTAGATTGCAATTCTTTATAACAAAAAAAATTATCCTATGTTATTTAAAATAACTAAACAAAAAAGAAGGTACAAACTATGATACAATTTTTATAGAAAGCAGTACAGAGCTTATAATACCGCATAAGCTCTGTAAATGTATTATTTTTTAAGCCTGGCATTGAAAAAAATGAACTTTTCAAATGATATATTTTAGAAGATAGAGTAAACATATTTTTTCTGATCAACTTCCAATGGTTTCTCTAGACCCCTACCCCTTAAATGCTGCAAATACAAAAGAAATTATTTCTCTTTTATTTTTAATTGACCCAATATATCATAACTTCAACAATACTTAACAACTTATGACGATTCACCAATTGATCAACATCAAACTTTTTAATATTTTATCTTATTGTATAGCTTGTGCTAGAATTTAATAAAATAAATGAAAATTATTTCTTTATAACAAAACTTTTTAATTTTGTTATAATTATTTCTTAATAAGTTCTGTAATTTGCTCTATTTATTAAGCAAGAATTCTGAATTGAAATAACAATTGTTTAGTACTTAAGTTAAGTAATTTTCTCTTCAATGTCAACTTTTATATATGAGTTCATGATTCTAGTAAGTGAAACAACCACGGAAAATAATTAAACAATTTCCAGTACTTGGAAATATTTGGGGAATAAAATA